AAGATGTACATAAACTTGAGGTGAAATTGAGCGTAGGCTGCTGAGGAATTAGTAGAAATTATTAACGTAAACGAGCATTTGCAAAATGTGTTGATCATGGGCACTCGAAAATGATTCCTGTCGCAATCAGCCATGGATTAGGAGACTTTTTTATTGCTTTGTGTAAAACTTGCAGATTGTCTTTTCAAAAGTACGAAGGCAAAATGGCATAATATAGGCAAAATTAGTTAGCGCACAATGTAGATGTCAAAATAAAATAATTGAATTTAAGCCTTATTAAGAGAATCTCTAAGAGTAGTATCAAGGCATGCTAACTTTAAACTCATTCGATTCTTATTGTACGTAAAAACGCCTTGTTGTCATAGTGTCTGCAGTGAATTCCATGCAGAGATGAAAGAGATTTTAAATTCGTAATGCAAAAACATTTTGCAGGCTTATGCGAATTTCGAAGTTAGTGTAGCGGAAGGAAGGTTTCTTTATTAATGGAAGGGAACCTATACTTTGCTTGAGTACAACTTTTTAGGCTAAATTTGGGGTTCTCAATGTTAAGTTTACGACGAAGACCATTTAATAGTGATAACTACAAAGTTCACCAGATCCTGAATCGAAACATACGGAAACGCAATTAAAAAGGAGGCAGTCCATAGTCGATGGTCTGGATGAAGTAGTCGAATTTCCAACGAATTTATCGACAGGACCATTTGATGAATAAATGGAGATTTTATCAAGCGGCAAAAGGGTTATAATCCGCTACTTCATTCAGAAATATTCATTTAGAATATTGTCCGAAGAGAAGCAGATTCACCGGCAGACAAATGTCTCATCTTTTGAAGGAATTTCAGTCAGCAACATTGTTACACCTCTTCTGATAGATACATCAAAATGAAACAAATAAGTGCATCTTTCCGGCAACATGAAGGCAACGTGAAAAAGTGCAGGATAGTTTATTTATGACGCAAGACAATCGTTGAAGAGTTGGACACAAGAAAACTTAAGGTAGGCTGAATACACAGCCTGGCCAAAGTTGGACTCAAAGTTGTGCGTTTAATCTGGTTGTGACTCATCAGTTCCTCATTCTCCATTAATCTCATAACTACTAGATGAAAAATACAGTAAATAACCGATTAATATTTCAATGAAAAGACAAATCAGGTTAAAGGAAGATGCTGCACAATTAATAGAGAATATAATCATAATTAGTATTAAAAATAGAAATATCACGTTGACCCGAAATAAAGCAGTTCCAATTTTTAAAAAGATAACCGTACGATTTTAGTGCAGTCAAGAGTCAGAATAGACTAGATTAAAAAATAAAAAAAATAAAAGTCCATAATATAGAATAATAGCAAGAGTAGTTTGATATAAATTCCGAGTATAAATAAATTAGCCATAAGCCCGAATTTCTCCAAAATAATGTTTACATTAGAAAGCCGCAGGATTATACTTTAACATTCTGCATGTTTAAATCTCATGTTTGCCATTTCAGACAGTTTTGGCAACTGCTTCCTTGTGAAAGCTGGCAAGTAAAAATGATGAGCTCTTATGGCATGTGGAGGCTAATTGCGATACAAGCGCACATCCAAACAGAAACTTAATCGAAAGGTATTATTGGGCAATCCGTCGTGATAATAAACTGAGGTACCGGCCACATGAGATGATTGAAGGCATACATCTGATCTACCAAGAAGGGCTAAAAACGAGTTGGGTAATGAAAGAAAACGGTCTATTCTCATAGTATCCATGGGGTCTGTGTGCTTTGAAATATCACAAGGATCCGCGGGCCAGGTTGATGAACCCGGCCGGCCGGCCCGGTCGGCTGACGAACAGAGCAGTCGTCGTGTCGCTCGCCTCTTCGCGGAAGGTCATTTGATCACCGTCAAGCGCGACGGTCATCGAAGCCATTCCGGACGCCATTTGGAGGGTTCTGTCTCTCTCCTTCATGGCTGCTGTCAGTTGGGAGACAAAAGTGGACAGTCGAGGCGTCGGGACTAGGGCGACAGCGCAACCTCCCCAACCGGCGCCAGTGAGACGGGCTCCTGTCGCTCCGGCAACACTTTAATGTAAGCCATTATGAAAAGATAGAAGGTGTTAAAGAAAGGGAGCTGTAGTTAGCACATGCCAAGGCATTACTGGTTTGTATAAGCAGGCTAAATATGCAATATGCAAAGCATAAATTAAATTTATAACTTATTTATCTAATTTATTATAAAATTATTAAAATTAAAAAAATACTACTACATAAGGTAGTAGTAGTATTACATACAAAGTTCTAAGTATACGATTATATCGACAAATATCCAGTGTCACAATTGTTGAACTTACTTCCCTTTCGAGTGAAGAGATTCAAAGGCCGATCCCACCAGAAGACGGCGACGGATTCCTGTTGATCAACTGTCGAATGGCTTTATTGGAAAATTCTTGTTGAGGCTGTTCCCAAGACAATGCCCTTAGATTCCAGTGGAATAGTGTTACGCTTTCGTGCGTCATATGATGAGCATCACCAGAGCAAAGTATCATCGTCACAACCCTATTCGAGCTAGCAACGTCGATAAGGATGTTTCAGTATAGCCAATCGACAGCTGGTCAAGAGGAATTGGCTGTCATCTTTTTTGTGAGATTGACCTTTGAATCTCTTCGACAAACATCTTCACTCGAAATGGAAGTAAGTTCAACACCTATTGCCTAAAACCAAGTGATCGACAGAGGCGCCACTTTAAAACACACACACACACACACATACACACGACATTGAAGTACGAAAACCTGCTAAGCTACATAAATAAAAGAGAAATTTCCCTTCCAGATCTGAACTGGGCTGTTTCACTTTTTGCAATATTTTGATAAAAGACATGCGAAGAAAAGTTGGGCTTCGAGGAATCTCTTGTCTCATAATTGTTGAG